AGCTCTTAACCACAATACTTGGCCACCAACAAAAGGCTTAACGCTTGTTGAACTGTGACACGTGACAGAAGGTTCACCCAACAATATACACCGATGTGAATCTTCCATGTGATATAACATCTATTTATTACATAATTTATTATTTGTAATTATTTCACAATGTTCTTAGGAAGATATCGGTCCCAGTGTCTGGTGTCAAAGATGCAAGCGGCATTATTGGTGGCTGCAGCAGTTTGTGCGCTGTGTCAGGGCGGGGTGGGCTTCATCAAAAATAACATTTCGCTTGTTATGCCTGATGGTACCACCGTTCCTTGGTGGCCGGCCCCAGGTACATCTACAAATTTAGGTCGTCGCGTAAAGGTTCACATTTCTAATAAGGTCAATTTAGGAGCCAAACCAAATCCTCCTGAAACCTCTTGTTGAAGTCTCGGCCGAAAAGTTCGTCCCAAGAGCGAATACGTCTCGTACGAGTTACAGAGAAAGCGGTCTGGCCAGTGAGGGATTACGCCGAGGGAGTAACCCACCATGTAGTACCTGCGGAAAGCCCGCTCAAGGATGTTCTGGTGAAAAAAACGACGGCAACTCTCGGAGGAGCAGGGGGGCAAGCAGCCATTGGTGGTGGTATGGCCGGCTTCCACTAGCCAGTACACCGGCCTCAACGTGAGCGTCGTCCACCGAGGCAGTCCCAACACCCTCTCCCACCAGATATACTTCCGTATGTTCCTCCTGTTTATACGTTATTACACCCAGTCCTTGCTTCTGTATGTTCTGCTTACATCTCTATTACTTTTTATCCTTCCTTACTTGTCTACTTCCTCCTTAAATTCTTTCTTACTCTTCATCCTCCTTTCTTTCACGCTTTCCATACCTCTTCCTTCTTCATTTCCCAATTTCCATTCTCTTCTTTATTTCTCACTTTCCATCCTCTTCTTTCTTTTCCACTTTCCACCCTCTTCCTTCTTCCTTTTACGCTTTCCATCCTGTCTTTCTCACTTTCCACCCTCTTCTTTATTTCTCACTTTCCATCCTCTCCTTTCTTTCCCTTTTTTCATCCTCCCTTTGTTTCTTACTTTCCCTTCTTTCTCTCGTTCTTTCTTTCCATCATCTACTTCTTCCTAACTTTCCACCCTCTCTTTCCTAACTTTCCATCCTCACCTCTGTCCTCAGAATAGGCAAACTGTACTCCAAGCTTTGCCGATAAATTTGTTAAACTAAAAACTCTCCTTCCTTACTTTCCATCCTCTCCTCCTTTCTTACTCCCATCCTCTCCTCCTCTTTTCCATCCTCTCCTTTTTTACTCCCATCCTCCTCTCTTTCTTACTTCCATCCTCCTTTCTTCTCCCATCCTCTCCTCCTTTCTTACTTCCATCCTCTCTTTCTTACTCCCATCCTCTCCTTTCTTACTCCCATCCTCTCCTCCTTTCTTACTTCCATCCTCTCCTTTCTTACTTCCATCCTCTCCTGTCTTACTTCCATCCTCTCCTTTCTTACTTCCATCCTCCCCTTTCTTACTTCCATCCACCCCTTTCTTACTTCCATCCTCTCCTGTCTTACTTTCCACCCTTTCCTTCTTTCCTTACGTCCTAGCTACCCATTCTTCGGCACTCCTCTTTCTTATCGCCGCTTAATGTCGTCCAAACCTACATTATTATATTTTCTAATCTTGTATCGTACTCAGTCAGCTGCGGACGTTAACAGTGAGACTGTATCCTCTCCCTTCTACTGTATACCGCTTTCTTGCTATCATCATCTTCACCCCTACGATAGGGACTGTTAATTAGAAAAAAGTATTTACTGATTTATAAAATGATCTTATTTTTATATTTATTTTATGCTTTGCATTAAGATTCAATAGATTTATATTTCGTGTTATAATTAAATAATGTGAAATTGGTTTTAAAATGTATATACTGTACAGGTATATTTATAAGTCGTTGCTCTTTTTTCTTTTCTTTTTGTATACGTAAATTTTAATGATTTATTTTAATGCTATTATACTCTCATGGAAGACTGGTGTAACATAGAATGCCCTTGCGTGCATCCGTCTGTTGTCAACATGAACATAATGTGTTGATGCCTTGTTCCTGGTAAAAGAAAGTTTCCGTTGATTTGGGGTTTAAAAGTCAGTCTTTAAGTACTAAAGAAAATACGTTTCTGCTAGGTAGCGCCATCTTACACTCACTGATCTTACATTATTCGTAAGCAGGGAGAGAATCAACCGTCAGAGGTCAAGGTCATTTGTTATGGACTTGTGCATGGAGGTGGCATCAGCATGTGTTGTGCTCTTGATACCGACCACTATGAACCATAATGAGGAGAGTCATTAGAAAATGTACAGACACTGCATGCTCCCCACCCCCATGGCAGTAGCTTTCGTCATGATTCATTCATTGTATGTAGAAGTGAGACTTTGGGGGCATGGTGAGCCCGGAGTGAGCCAGGCTGTTCCGTTCATTAACACACGCACTCACAAGTATCTGAAATACCTCAGTTGACATTGAAATAATAATAAAAAATTTGGCTATAAATTAACAATAAAGTTTAAAATTAAACTTTTTGTAGGCAAGGGGGACCTTAAACAAGTGAATTATATATATATATATATATATATATATATATATATATATATATATATATATATATATATATATATATATATATATATATATATATATATATATATATATATATATATATATAATTTTTTTTTTTTTTTTTTTGTATTTGAAAAGTAACATATGTACTGTGATGGTAGATGTACAGAAGAAATCAAAACGAGTTGGTCAAGCAAAAACACCATCTAATAACCTAAAATACCTAATAAAAGAGACATTAACTTCAATTTGAGAAAGGGGCTGCTGAAAGGCTTTATATGACAAGGACTGATGTTTGGGTCAGCACCAGAAAGAGGTTGGAGGCCTTTGAAATGTGGTGTTACAGGCGAATGTTAAGAATCAGCTACACTGACAGGAAAACAAATGAAGAAGTATTGAGATTCACAAAAAAATTCAAGAGAAATACTTGAAATGTACAGAAAAATAAAAATTAGATACTGTGGTCATATAATTAGAAATGATATTAATAACAAATATTCATGGGCAAAGTTGTGGGTAGGGGGACCAGGGGAAGGAAAGCAGAGACGAATGAATAAATTAAATTAAAAACTTGGTCCCCTGGTAAAAGCCGTCCCAGAACGTTTAGAGTGGAGGACTGTGGTCACTAACCCTCAGATATGAGGGCGGTACTTTGAAAGGAATTTCTGATGCATAAAATTAAAAGTATATACAAACATTGAGGACAAGGAGTAATATCGAAATACAATAATATACAACCAGAGAAAAAAGTTGAAGGCATATGATAAAAACTGAAATAATATTGGTAGTTCGAATAATGCATTTATTGTATTTAACGTACTGTTCCCGTTTTCTTTACTTGTATTTTTTTACAGATTGTCCTGGAGGGGGCTAGTTTATTGTCTAGTAGTATTGATGGTACAGTACTGTATGGAGGTTATCCTGACTCGCCCTTTGTGTTTTTGCCCCTCCCCCCTCCCCCCTTTCAACCCCCTTGACTTGGCCCGTTACCCACAGAGAGAAAACATGTACAGTATTTAGACCTACACACGTTGGCTTTACTTATTCTACTTATTGAAATTGAATACAAATATACACTTCCACAAGTACTTCAGCCCAGTTAAGTGGGCAGGACCACCAGGTGATCATTTCTGGGTTAAGTCAACGCGACGACACAGGAGGTTATGATCCACATTCAACTTTGATTTTCTTGACCCCTGCTCCCTCAGTTGATGGCTTCTCGTCCCCATGTTGAAAACTACGTTGCTTTACACCAGTTTTGCGTTTCTTTAAACTTATTTGTAAATATCAAACAAATTTACGCACCTAACGTTCCGATATTTTTTTAAAAAGTGACAAATTACCTCAAAATCGACGAACCAGCTTTATTACTGACGAATAAAACACTGAAGCGAGTAGGGTAATAAAGTGAAACCGTGTATTGCTGGTTTATTTCGAGACAGGGCCCCGGTTCTCGGATAAATATCAACTTCTTGGAACTGGTTTTTCAATGAAAGCGCATTTACCTGATGCATTTAACCTACATACAAAAAAACACGATCTATTGGCTTTGAAATTTCATCACGAAGTTAATGTAGCGAAGTACTTAACCTACAACCTACCACATTTCCAGATTTTTTAATACAGTATAACGTTTATCGTCTGTACATTGAATAACTTGATTTCACGTAGACCGAATAGTTATTAATTACTGTACTGTACAGTGTATAAAAAAATCCGTGGGTGAAATTTTACTTCAATGTAAGTTAGCTATTTTGCAATGCAGATAAATTGTCAACGTCTGTTTAGTTATGCATGATTCATAATAAGCTTGCGACTTTTTAAATGAATTTTCCAGCTCGAATTTTGGAGGTTTTCATCTGGAATTCCTTTCACTTACACGTAACGTTGTTAAACTCTGATTGGGATTGCAGTCATCTTGTTCGCTCTCCTTCATGGTAATCTTAACTCATTATTCTGTAAAGATATATTTCATCTTAACTGTTCATCACAACAAGTTAGTAGATTTGGTGATAAGCTACTGGCACCTAATTTTAGTCAATTAAAATATGCAGTTCAACTCTCGTGCATACTTAGCATTGATTAAAACGTTTGCCAGTGTAGCGATACATATATGATAGCTGTATTAATAAAACCGGGATTAGACAAATGTTTTGCTTATTTCTTTAATTATATTTAGTATATAGTATTATTTTATGGTTAGTACCCACTTATATTGATATTGATGATGCTATTTTCCATATTAATTTAATTACTGTGTTTTTATATAAATGTATTTCTTTCTCACTCATATTTAGGAAACTTTAATATGTGATTAAGTTAGGTAGTGAATAATTAAGGTTGTGAAGTGAGTATGCACATCTGTATGTATAACTATCTTTACAAGTAATACTCTGTTTGGTACAGAGAACGAGGATGGACCCATCTCTCCGTTCCATGATGTCCCACTGTTTGCTAATGAGGGAAACAAGATTTTCAACATGGTGGTGGAGGTGCCTCGATGGACCAATGCCAAGATGGAGGTAAGAAGCCCATGTTTATTACTGAAGGACTGGCATAAAGGCAAAACCTCGACGAAATACTGTATTTTAAAAACGTGTTATTTGGTCTTGATACTTGAAGGTGAGAAAACGGCGAACAACTTACATATTATTAGGTTATATATTTACTGTATTGCTATTCTTTGAGATTGTAAAAATGCGAGCCTGATTATGAAATTATGGGAGTGGAAAGACTATATAAGGATATGGGACAAGGTGTATAAGATGCTGTATAAAGATAGTGATTGGAAATTATAATTTAGTTTAATAAATATCATGTAAGTAAATAAAAAGAAATATCAGGTCGGTAGTTAGTAGAAGTAAATTGCGTGTGTAGAGTGCAAAACACCAGAGGAAGAATGGCATAATGAAAAACGGGATCAACAAGACAGCAACCATAATGGTCTTTATCGAGAGGACAGCTACCATGATGGTCTTTATCAGCAGGGCAGCAACCATGATGGTCTTTATCAGCAGGGCAGCAACCATGATGGTCTTTATCAGCAGGGCAGCAACCATAATGGTCTTTATCGAGAGGACAGCTACCATGATGGTCTTTATCAGCAGGGCAGCAACCATGATGGTCTTTATCAGCAGGGCAGCAACCATGATGGTCTTTATCGAGAGGACAGCTACCATGATGGTCTTTATCAGCAGGGCAGCAACCATGATTGGTCTTTATCAGCAGGACAGCAACCATAATGGTCTTTATCGAGAGGACGCTACCATGATGGTCTTTATCGGGGCAGGGCAGCCACCACATGATGGTCTTGCACGAGAGGACAGCCACGCAGATGCCCTTATCAAGAGGAAGGCAACCATGAGTGTCTTTATCAGCAGGACAGCAAACTCATAAATATTCCTTATCGAGAGGACAGCTACCATGATGGTCTTTATCGAAGAGGCGCAACCAGATGGTCTTTATCGTTATGGGCAGCAAACCATGATGCTCCTTTATCGAGAGGACAGCCACCATGATGGTCTTTTATCGAAGAGGGCAGCAACCATGATATCTTTATCAAAGGTGACAGCAAACCATAATGGTCTTTTATCGAGGAGTGACAGCCACCATGATGCTTCCTCATATAACAGCCACCATGATGGTCTTATCGAGAGGAGATGTCACCACATGATGGTCTTTACTCAGCAGGGCATAAAACCATGATGGTCTTTATCGGTGACAGCAAACCATAATGACCTCTATCGAGATGACAGCTACCATGATATCTTTATCAGCAGGTTGTTAAACCATGATGGTCTTATCAAGAGCAGCAACCATGATGCAGTTCTATCGGAGAGGACAGCTACCATGATGGTCTTTATCAGCAGGTTAAGCGGCACCATGATACCTTATCAGCGTAATGGAAAACTATGATGGTCTTTATCGAGATGACAGCCACATGATGGTCTTTATCAGCAAGTGGACAGCTACCATGATGGTCTTTATCAGCAGTGGCAGCAACCATGATGGTCTTTATCAGCAGGGCAGCAAACCGCGATGGTCTTATCAGCAGGGCAACCATGAGATTATCTTTATTTCGAGAGGGCAGCTACCATGATGGCCTTATCGGCAGTGGCATTAACCATGATGGTCTTCATTGCGGGCAGCAAACTATGACGGTTCTTTATCGAGAGTGACAGCTACCATGATGGTCTTTATCACAGGCATTAACCATGATGGTCTTTATCAGCAGGCAGCAAACTATGATGGTCTTATCAGCAGGGCAGCAACCATGATGGTCTTTATCAGCAGCAAGGTTAAAACCATGATGGCCTTTATCGAGAGGGCAGCTACCATGATGGTCTTATCAGTATAACAACTGGCGATGGTCTTTACTGTTGCGCAGCAAACCATGATGGTCTTTATCAGGCATAAACCATGATGGTTCTTATCATATGTTAGCAACCATGATGGTCTTTATCGAGTGACAGCACCACGATGGTCTTTATCAGCAGGCAGCAAACCATGATGGTCTTCTTTATCGGTGTTGCGGGCAGCAACCATGATGGTCTTTATCAGCAGGCAGCAAAACCATGATGGTCTTCGGTCATATGACAGCCACCATGATGGTCTTTATCAGCAGGCGGCAAACCATGATGACCTCTTATCAAAGGTAAGGTAAACCATGATGGTCTTCTTATCAGCAGGGGCAGCAAACGCGATGGTCTTTATCAGCAGTGGCAGCAAACCGCGATGGCTATTCTTATCGCAGGCAGTAAACCGCGATGCCCTGACGCAGGCAGCAAACCAGATGGTTCTTATCAGCAGGGCAGCAAACCATGATGGTCTTATCAGCAGTAAGGTTAAACGCGATGGTCTTTATCAGCAGGGCAGCAACCACGATGGTCTTTATCAGCAGGCAGCAAACTGGCGATGGTTTTATCAGCAGGGCAGCAACCATGATGCATATCTTCCGCATCAGGTGGGCAGCAGCGGTTGATGGTCTTTATCGCAGAGCAGCAACCATGATGCATTCCTTTATCAGCAGGGCAGCAAACCATGATGGTCTTATCAGCAGCAGCAAACCATGATGGTCTTTATCAGCAGGCAGCAACCATGATGCATTCTTATCAGCAGCAACTACGATGGTCTTTATCAACAGGGCAGCAAACCATGATGGCTCTTATCACAGGGCAGCAACCATGATGGTCTTTATCGCAGGGCAGCAACCATGATGGTCTTTATCAGCAGGGCGCAAACTGGCGATGGTCTTTATCAGCAGTGTACAGCAAACCATGATGGTCTTATCAGCAGGGCAGCAACCACATGGTTCATCAACAGGGCAGCAAACGCGATGGTCTTTATCAACAGGGCAGCAACCATGATGGTCTTTATCAACAGGGCAGCAACCACATATCTTTATTTGCGGGCATAACCATGATGTACTTTATCAGCAGGGCAGCAACCATGATGGTCTTATCGGCAGGGCAGCAACTATGATGATCTTGATAAGACAGCGTCCCATGGCCGGTCTTTACCAGAGGACAGCAACCATGATGGCCCTATCAGCAGGGTACAAACCAGATGGTCTTTATCAGCAGGGCAGCAAACTATGATGGTCTTTATCAGCAGGGCAGCAACCACGATGATCTTTATTAAGACAGCAACTGGGCGATGGTCTTTATCGCAGTGGCAGCAACCATGATGGTCTTTACTGTGGCGGCGCAACCATGATGGCTCCCACTGGTGACAGCAACCCAGGGGTTTATTCTTTATCAGGCAGGGCAGCAACCATAATGGTCTTTATGAGGATGACAGCAACCATGATGGTCTTTATCAGCAGGCAGCAACCATGATGGTCTTTATCAGGCAGGCAGCAACCAGCGATGGCCTTGTGACGTTATGGGCAAACCATGATGGTCTTTACTGCAGGCGGCAACCATGATGTTATCAGCAGGGCAGCAACCATGATGGTCTTTATCAGCAGGGCAGCAACCATGATGGTCTTTATTAGCAGGGCAGCAACCATGATGATCTTTAAGACAGCAACCATAATGGTCTTTATCAGGAGGACAGCAACCATAATGGTCTTTATCAGCAGGGCAGCAACCATAATGTTCTTTTTCAGCAGGGCAGCAACCATAATGGTCTTTATCAGCAGGGCAGCAACCAATGGTCTTTATCAGCAGGGCAGCAACCATGATGGTCTTTATCAGGGCAGCAACCATGATGGTCTTTATCAACAGGGCAGCAACCATGATGGTCTTTATCAGCAGGGCAGCAACCATGATGGTCTTTATCAACAGGGCAGCAACCATGATGGTCTTTATCAGCAGAACAGGCAACCATGATGGTCTTTATCAGCAGGGCAGCAACCATGATGGTCTTTATTAGACAGCAACCATGATGGTCTTTATCAGCAGGGCAGCAACCATAATGGTCTTTATTAAGACAGCAACCATGATGGTCTTTATCAGCAGGGCAGCAACCATGATGGTCTTCCAGGACAGCAGGGCAGCAACCACATGGTCTTTATCAACAGGGTAGCAAACGATGGTCTTTACTCAGCAGGGCAGCAACCATGATGGTCTTATCAACAGGGCAGCAAACCAGATGGTCTTTATCAGCAGGGCAGCAAACCATGATGCATTTTATCAGCAGTGGGCAGCAACCATGATATTTTATTACATTAGAAAACCAAGATGGTCTTTATCAGCAGGGCAGCAACCATGCGATGGTCTTTACCGCAGGGTTAAGCAAACCATGATGGTCTTTATTACATTGCGCAACCATAATGGTCTTTATCAGCAGGCAGCAACCATGATGGTCTTTATCAAAGCAGGGCAAGCAAACCATGATGGTCTTTATCAGCAGGGCAGCAAACCATGATGGTCTTTATTAAGCATTGCGCAACCATGTGCGATGGTCTTTATCGTTAGGCAAGCAAACCATACTTTGGTCTTTATCAGCAGGCAGCAACCATGATGCCCTTATCAAGAGTGCTGTTAAACCATAATGGTCTTCATCAGCAGGCAGCAAACTGGCGATGGTCTCATCAGCAGCAGCATAGCGCGATGCATCTCGCATCAGCAAGGCGTTAACCATGATGGTCTTATCACAGGCAGCAAAACCATGATGGCCCTTTATACACGCAACCGGCGATGGGTCTTCATCAGCAAAAGCAGCAAACCATGATGCCATCTCTTTACAATATTGTTAACCAGATGGTCTTTATCAGCAGTGGCAGCAACCAGCAGGTCTTTATTTCAAGACAGCAACCATGATGCATTCTTTATCAGTTAGTGGTTAAACCATAATGGCTCCCACAAAGGCGGGCAGCAAACCATGATATTCCTAATGTTATGGGCAGCATACATGATGGTCTTTGATCAAGAGGCAGCAAAACCGCGATGGTCTTTATCGAAGAGGGCAGCAACCATATTTTGGTTCTTTATCAGCAGGGCAAGCAAACCATGATGGCCCTTATCAGCAGGCAGCAAACCACGGTGTCTCTTTATCAGCAGTGTTACAAACCGCGATG